AATGGCATTTCACAGGGAATTTTTATTTTGCCAACTGGAAAATAGAAAGATGCCTTAAGCACATGTACAAAAGAGTGAAAGTGACTATGTGTCTCTGGAGGAAGGGGATATAGTAAGATGCACTACGTCACTATTGCATAGATTGCATAGGGCTGGAGAAAAACAGTTAAACCTGAAAAATACGGTCCAGATCATGCAAGTCCATCAGTGTCACATTGTATAGACAATCTTAGTCTGTATAGAAGCATAACAACATAATGATTAAAAGCAAGGTTTCTGTGAGTTCCAGTCCATGACGTTCTAGCTGGGACTTTGGGCAAATTTATAATAAACTTCATGGAGCCTTTTGATTTGTTTGTTTGGTTTTTTTTAATACGATAATGCTAGGACCTGTCTTCTTATCCTATTGATGGTTACTTTAGCTAACGTCTGTTAAGCACTTAGCCCAGTGTCTGGCATTTAAGTGCTCAAAATTGGTAGCTGCATATGTCATTGTTATTATTTCTGCCAAAAAAATGTAGCCAGAGTTGATTTGTGAGATGCTTTGTTTTGTGACGAGGTACGTATTTTCATTCAACCTTGTTGTCTGAATGCGGGATAAATCTCAGGTAGCAGAATGATTAAAAGAAGGCTAGAAAGGGCAGAATATGGAATGTGCTGGAAGGTATGCTCAGTAGAGACCAAGAAGGACAATCTTCCGTGTGTGGAAATGGCATAGTAAGGGTGGCAAGCAGTGCCTCTTTGCCTTGATCTTTTTGGAGTGTGTTTTACCTCCATTTGCTCTACAGCAGAGAAGCTCGATGAGGGGAGGTGATACTGAGACACTGAAATCTCATTGCCAGGTGTAATAAGCTCATATATTCACTTAAGAATGTTACAAAAATGGTGATACCATTTTTTCTATGTGTGCAAGATTGTACTTTTTAAAATGGCCACAATGCTATCTCTAATCCCAGATATTTTTCTTATAATATAATGTTGACCTGAAGCAAATAAGTCTGGGTTGGTTTGTTATGGGAGCAGGAGTGAGTTCTGTGACTTGAGCCAAGGACACCTGAGTCCGAGTGACCTAAGTCTGGGTCATAAAAGATGATACAGGTGACATCAGGTTTTCTTGAGATACTTGCCCTTGAAACCAAACTACCTTGACATGAGAAAGTAAAGACTACAGAGGGAGGCTATGTATAGGTTTTATGGGTGACAGTCCCAGCTGTGGTCCCACAACCAGTATCAACAATAACTACAACATCATTTTATGTATTTTCTCTTTAATAGTTACCAAGCATACAACTACCAGTACTTAAAATCCTCAGTTATTAACTCACAAAAATGTGAAGACTGACTGAGCTAGAAATTCTAACTGAAAAAGCGTAGCAGAGGTCATTGTACCAATGATATTGTTTAATTTATTCTCATTAAACACAATTTGCTGCCTATAAGAAACTGAAAAGAGTTTGCTGAAACTGGATTCTATCTCCCATAGCAATTATTTTGACAATGTATTTGCCTTTTACCCATGATAATGTATTTGTTTTCTACTGAGGCATAATTTGTTTTTAAAAATAAGAAAATTATGCCTCTCTTGATGTAGACAAAGCCAGGTGAGTTTAAGTAATTGGGGGAAAAGGCGTCACTTAAAATTATTTCTGCCAATTTGTCTCTTTTTCTTTCTGCCTCCACACTTCCTCCACACAGCTCCTTGCACACACTCTCAAATGTGGTCATAACAGTTGTCAATAACAACCAAAGATTAGGCTTTGTATGGAGAAAAACGCTGAAAAAAAACATTGGAGCTGGAAACACCTCTAGTGGTTTGTTCCATTCTCCTTGAGGTTGATTCATATGAAGACAGCTCGCTGTTCATGGTTTGGGATAACATCAGATCTCCAAACAGCCTGAAAAATGTTATTAAGGCCTTACACATAGGAAAGGACTGTGCAAGCTATTGAGGCACCAAAGACAGATGTAGTGAACATTAAAACAATAATAATAATAAACACCAGGACACACTGATCCAATGGATGGACTGACGGTGGGGCAAAACATTTTAATCTAAGACTTGTGTTCTGTTGCTCTAACGGAAAAGAGTGGAGAAAGTGTTCTAACAGCAGCCTGATCATCCTGACCCATTTAGTGTCTATCCCACCCCCATTCCAACACACAGCGTATCTCCATCAAACTGGCCAGATTCACCTTTTTTTAAATTTCTACCTAAATGCCAATCCTCTTCCTGTGACATACAGGGGGTTTTTTGTTTTGTTTTTTTTGTTTGTTTGTTTGTTTGTTTGTTTAACCCATTAGTTCTTTTTCCTTTGTCAACTGAATTCTTATATTTAAATATCATTTTATTCAATTTGTACTCATATCTCAGAAATTCTTATGTAGCTCTTCAACTACATCCTTCTACAACTGACCACTGCACAAAGACCTAGAAACTGTTCCTCCAAAAAGGAGATAAGATGTTTAGTAAGTGCTTATTGATGATCAATCACTGAAATGGAAGTAGTGGTTTGCTGTTATGTTTTAAAACAACTGATAAGAATAAATGGCTTAATACAGAGCTAATTTTGTAGGGAGCCTAAAAATCTAATTAAACTGAGAAATTTGCCCCAGGAAAGGGCACAGGAGCACAGGGTACATAATTCTAATTATAATTTCAGGAAGTTCATGGACTTCAGGTTAAGAACCCCTGTCTATGGCAATTCTGTGTGGAGCATGAGCTAACTCATTAGTATTCAGAATCAATCACAATTTATTGCAAGACTACTGTACGTCAGGCACTGAGCTGGCACTCCTACTTTTACTTCAGCATAATCCTGATACAGACCAGAAATGTTCTTCCTTCTCTTCTGTTTTCCCCATAACAACTATTAACATTTCAAAAACCAAGTGTTCTTCCAATGAGTGCATTTTGGGAAAGGCTAACGTAACCAAATTCTTATTTTAAAGGTAAGAAAACTAAAGCCCAGAGAGAAGTAACATGCCTAAACTCAAACGGTGAGTTGTTACAGATGGGAGCTAGGGTCCAGGTCTGTCTCCTAGGCCTGAGCTCTTCAACTACAGACCTCTACAATGAGAGGACTCTAGTCCAATGAATGACAAATTATCATAGTTCGATTTACACCAGAAGCTCACCTTGAAACAAAGATACAATAGCAAAGCAGTTTATTTGGGAGGTGCCAGAAGCACTGGTGAAGGAAGGGGAAAATGAGACAGGGAAGGCAGTGGACACGGGGTTGTTTATCAAATCATCTATTACTATGGATGACTGGAGTTTAATTCTGCAGAGGAAACCCTGGAGAGCAGTGTTGGGCACACACCTTAGAGTTATCCCATATAAGCGATGAGGGAGCTCCAGTATTTATATACCTACTCCAGGAAGTTACAGGTTGAGTGTTATTTGGGGGATGTGGATGGGCTGCACTTCCAGCCTCCTTCATGATGGGCTTCCGTGGCCAAAGAAGACTCTTAATGAAAGAAATGCAGATGCTGGCAGTTGCAAGCCACTCGACATATACAAGAGATGGGAGAATATAGACAGGCCACTGATAATGTCTGCTACATGTGCATATTCACGTACATGGTCAGATCTGTGAGCCAGTGTATGGTGTATTATGTGGGAATTGGGAGACTTGATTTCTCGCTTAATATGTTTAAGCTCTGTTTGGAAAGCCATAACTGAACACAACTTAGAGACCCAAGGAAGTGCTTCTGAAGCCAGCAGCCACGATGACAAAAGGTTTGTAAAGCAGGCCAAGTTGGTTGATGACTCTGGGTTTATTTAGCCTACAGAAGGGAAAGTTGAAACAGAGCTTAATTATAATCCACTGAATCAAATCACTTTGTAAATTCTGTTAATTGTATAACCACAGTGACTTTCTTTTCCACCCCTCAAGTCTTTGTTTAAGCTGTCAATGTTTATCACCTATATCCATCATTTTCTTGACTTTTAGATCTAATGCTGTTTTTTCTAAAAAAAACAAAACAAAGCACACAAACAAACATGCACACAACAAAAGCAACAACAACAAACATTTTGTGGTATCCCATTTAGTATCTGGATATAAAAATCATAGATAATGTAATCTATAAACATATCATTTCACAGACTGCAATATAATGCCCTGAACTTAATACATGAAGAAATAAAGGGAAGTAATTTGTAACAAAATAACAACATTTTAGCAATGCAATTGCTGGAGCACATCACACTCGAGTATATGAGCAAGGAGTGAAATGCTTGCACTTCTTCACAGAATTGTATTGCATGCCATAGGCACAAATGCAGATCAGCACAGGTGTGTTACAATGGAATTCAAATGCCATTAGCAGTGTGAGTGTGTGTGTGTATATATATATATATTAAACTCTATTTTATATATATATAAAATAGAGTTAAATGCTAGGGTCAGACTAGTATAAAAAAGGATATTTAACTTTTATATGGAATGCAGGACAATTCTTCGTTGTTTGGGGCTGTCCTTTGCAATGCAAAATGTCTGTCATTCCTGGCTCTTGTCCACTAATACCAGTAGCAAACCAAATGATCCCATTAAATTTTAAAACATGCCCTGTGACCAGTATTAGTTCCAGTGAGAAGCACTGACTCATTACAACAAAATCTTCTGATAGAAACAACATGTGGTATTAAAAACAAAGAAGTATATAGATCCTAAAGTCCATAAATAAAGAAGAGCCAATGTTCCAGTAACTGCTCTGAGAAGCTCTGATATTCTCTGGGTCGCACAGAAGCATGGGAGACTATCAATGCCCCTTCCATCGTTCATTCTCTCCTGGTGATTCAGGTAGTGAGTCAGCTAGTATTGGTGTTCGCAAAAACTTGGAAGTTCCTTTTCCACATGTTTGTGTGCCCTCTCTGTAGCCTCTGGGTCTAGGTTCTTGAGTATACAATGCACTAAGGACTGTTTGTGGCCTGGTGCAATCAGGGTCATGGAAGATGGATAGAATAAGTAGAAAGGGTGGTAATGGGATGGTCAAACCACAAGATTGACAACTTCTTCTTCTGGGAAGGGTCCCAAGCAAGAGTCCTCCAGGTTCTTCAGGTTAGGTGATGCTGAGGAAAGCCAAAGAGCATCTGACACCATCTCCTAGTTCTTGGTACCTGTTAGCATATGCCTTTCATCAGTCTTTGTCAAACATACCCATCTAAGTCTCTGAATGACCAAGGAGAATGAATAGAGATACCTCTCACAGGGGTAGGAAGAAGACGTGAAGTGGAGGGCAGGAGGTGAAGGAAACCTAGAAATTTAGGTTAAATTAGCCTGCTGAAAACATAAAATGTCTTCAAAATCTCATACTTTATCTTTCATTATGTAGTTATTTATTTCTTTGAGTCAGTGTTTCATTGCTGCCCAGGCTAGAGTGCAGTGGTGCAATCATAGCTCACTGCAGCCCACAACTTCTGGGCTCAAGTGATCCTCCCACCTCAGCCTCCGGAATACCTAGGACTACAGGCACACTCCACCATGCACGGCTAATTTTTTTAAAAAAAATTTGTAGAAACAGTGCTCACTATGTTGCCCAGGCTAGTCACAAACTCCTGGGCTTAAGCGATCCTCTCTTTGTGGCCTCCCAAAGCACTGAGACTACAGGTGTGAGTCACCACAACCCAGCCTCATGCTTTATCTTTAAAACTTTATAATTTTTATATTCCATAGTACATCAGTGTTTGTTTCTTACACATATTTTGGTCTTGTGTGTATGTCTCTGCGTTTGTGTATATATATATAATCTTACTAACTAAAGCAGGTTTGATCAAAACTGATACTTCAGAAATAAATGTTATCTTTCTCCTATGGCTTCAAGTTACCACCAGTGGGTGCAAACATTTTCATTTAAAAGGTGTTGAGCTTATTGTTATTTGAACATAGGGTATTTTAGGTCCTTTCCAGATTCCTGTAGCTCTTCAAGGTACTGGAGTAATGATGGTGCATACGGAGCATGGATTTAGCAGGAGAAAAATCTATACTTTCGAATATATATATATATGTATATATACACACACACACGCACACACATATATATTTATATATATATATACACACACGCACACACAATCTTCTGTGTCTGGCTACTTTTACTCAGTGTAATGCTTTTGAGATTAATCCATGCTTTTGCATATATCTGTAATATATTCTTTTTTGTTTCTGAGTAGTATTTTACCATATATATGTATTAAAATTGTTTATACCTTCTCCTGCTAATGCATATTTAGATTGTTACCAGTTTTTAATCTAGCATAAATAATGATTCTGCAAAGATTTGTATACAAGCATTTTTATGGACATATGCTTTAATTTCTCTTGGATAAGTGCCCAGAAGTGGAATTGTAGATGCCACAAGGCTCCGTTAGGAAAGCAGGGTCATCGTGGTGCTGCTGATGTTTTGTCTGAATGCCTATCTAGTGACAGCTCATGTACCATCACTTTCCCTATTTCATGAAAGAGATTGTGTATAATTATTAAGATTTCTTCCTTAGATGTCTGAAATTAATCTCTTGGCTGGGATTTTTCTTTCTGAAACATTTTTAGTTAGAAATAAAATTATTTTTAGATAGATTATTTGGAATTTCTATTTTCTCTTGTCAGTTTTGGTTATGTGTGTTTTCAAAGGATTCTTCCATTTCCTATCAGAAGTTAAATTTATTGGCATAAAGTTATTTATAATAGACCTTATTATTCTTTTAGTGACTGTAAAATTTGTAATCATGTTCCCTTTTTTGTTCTTGATATAAATAATTTGTGTCTTCTTTGTTTTCTTGGTGTGTTTAGATAGAAGTTATTAGTTTTATTGTTCTTTTTTTAAAAATCAGCTTTTGGTTTCATTTATTTTCTCTGCTATTTGTACATTTTCTATTTGGCTGATTTCTGCTCTTATCTCTACTATTTTATTCTTTCTACTCACTTGAAATTTTATTGTCTCACCTTTTTGTAGCAGATTAACATGTAAGTTTAAATCATTGATTTGACTATTCATTACTTTCTGATATAATCATTTGAAGTTATACATCTTCTAGGTACTATTTTAATTGTGTCCCACACATTTATTTTTATTTTCATTCAGTTCAAAATATTTTTAAATTCCCCTTGTGATTTCTTTTTTAACCTGAGTTACTTACAACTACGTTGTTTATTTTTAGATCTCTTTCTGTTTTTAATTTCTAATTTAATTCTGTAAAATCAGAGAACATATTCTTTATTATTTCAATCTTTCAAAATGTGTTGATTTTAATAAATTAAAGGATTCATTTTGTTTGTGTTCCTATTCCCAGTAATTATGATCTTGTGATGCCTGTTATCCGATGTCTGCAAATGGTTTTTTTCCTCATATATTTTGCCCAGTTTTTTACTTGTTTACAGTAGCAGTGCAAGTGCTGTACCAGCTACTTCATCATGATGCAAAGCATTGCTGACTTATTAAATCTGGCTCCTAGTGATTAATTTCCTTTACTGTCATCCATTCAGGTCTTAACATAGATGTCATTTTCTCCTCTAAGAGGAAAAAAAGAGACCTCCTGTAGAGGTCTCTCCTGACTGCTCACCTCACTGAAAACTTGGTTAGAACTCTCTTTCATGTCTTTTTTTCTTCAGCATACACAGTATTTACTCCTTACATAGCACATATCCACACTGTTGTATTTGCCTGCTACTTTTTCACTTGCCTCCAACAAAGAATATACATTTTATATATATTTGAGCCATATACAATTTTTGCTATTTGATCATTTTTGAGATATAAAATGGAAGGTTTCCCTTGGTTCAAACTAACATGTATACAAAAAAAAAATTATTATTTATACATACACAAAGAAGTGGTGAGATCTCAAAATAGTACTGGTCTCTTTTAAAATGTTATTAATGGGAGGATTCTCCTTTATAGTAATCCTTTCCCAGAACTTTTGAAAGTGGCCCTACCACATTCTCTAATTCTAATTAGAATTACAGAGGCTGCTATGAGGATCAAATAAGGTCATGTACACGGAACACTTTAAAAAGTGTTGGGCCCATGATAAGTGCCCAATATGTTCAGCTGTGACTACTGTTTCGTTGGTGTTTTTAGGTGGTGGTTGCCTCAGCTAAGCCTTGTCTCTGCTGGATGCCAGTCAAGTTCCTCAGACTGTGGCTCTCCATGATGTCCCTGCCTCAAGGCAACCCTTCTGGACCCCTTTTCAGTCTTTCCTGCAGCTCCTTACTTTTAGTTAACCCTGAGGAAAGGGAGGCCCTTCTTTTGTGACAATGATTAGTTACCCTGGGCTTCAGGTTCGTTGGGAAAATCCTTGCACTTAATCCCTTAATCTCTCCCAGAAGTGTCTCGGGTCTCTAGAATCAGCGTTTTGACCAGCTTCTCTCAGTCCTGAGGTGGAGACGGGGGTTTATCTGAGACACATGTACTAGCACTTTTATGCTTTTCATTTTAAATCTCTTCAGCAATGTTTGGCTTTCTTGACCAGAGTTTCTAGACTAAGCTCTGGATTTGGGTGTCCCAGAAATAATGTTCTTCCAATGGCAGGAGCCACTGTCCCAGAAACCTGGTGTTTCTGTTACTGCTTCTGAAAGAAGCTCCCAGGGATGGAAGGCAAAATTAGCATCACTGTCCCGCCTCAACCTTCAGTTGGACAATGGTGAAGAAGGCCCATGTTGGGAGGTCTTAAAATCTCATTCTTGGCTACTCACTTGCTGAGTGACTTGGCCAAGCCCTGCTCCCTGCGTAGACTGAAATTTCCTCATATGTTCAAAGTCTTTTTAGTTCTCAGGTTCCATGACCTGCTTGAGTTTATTTTGAAATGTATTTTAGGGATTTATATACCTAAGAAATTGGGGGAATCCCTTATTTCTCAACCACTTTTTTCTTGTACAGCACAAACTCTAGTAGTTTTTTAACTGAAGTTTCCCGCCCTTCCCCCTTAAGTGGAAGCTTAACTAATTACTTAGGAAGAAGCCTTGTGCCCTCACCTTAACAACAGGGAATGGACCTTAATTCTAGAAGAACTTTGCATCCTCCCTCAATCATGTGAGCGAACATGTCAGCTCCCACCTTAAGGGTACCACTTTTCAATAATGACTTGGAGGATAATGGTTCTTAGCCACCTACCCGCATCAGAGTGTTGCCAATACACAATATTTAAAAGGCACTCTAGAGTAGTGCTTCTTAATGATAACTGAGTGGAAAATGGCAATAATCACAGGTGCGTATACATCTGTGGGTTGTATTAGCCATGGTCCTTTGGAGGCAGTAGGGGCTGCTGAGTTGATGGGGAAATTGTAGGTATGTGGGCCCAGGTTCCGTGAGGAGCAATTACAGCACAGACTGCAGAGCCATTGTGGGAGGAAACTGCCACATGTAATTGAAGAGCATAATATGATAAATCAATGGTGTAAAAAGGAGAGAAAAGCATGAAATCCACAACAGCAAGCTGGCAAAGAAACATCTTGTTTTAGATTATTTTTTGTTCTATTTTCCTGTCTATAAAGGACACTATAGAAATCAGGCCAGGACTAAATCCTAACTTTGTCTTTTACTAGTGGTACTATGTTGGGCAAATCACTTACCCTCCCTTAGGGTTAGTTCCTTCCTCTGTGAAAACTAGAGTTGTAACGCTTTGCAAAATCCTCCCAAGGAGTAAAGGAACTGGCATATGTAAAAAGCAACTTGTGATGACACTTTAAGTCAGCAAAAATATTTCTGAGTGCTGATTGTGTGCCAGGCACTGTACTAGTCATAAAGGAAATTCAAATAAAAATGAGACAATTCCTGCCTTTCAGGAGAATAGAAGCTACTGGATGAGACAGACATAATTACTCAAGATCAGAAGGTAAACTATTGGTTTATCCTGAGAAAATCCAGCTACTTTTTTTTTCAGATACTTTAAAGATTTGTCTGCTTCCATTTTGTTGTTAAAAAGGATCATTTGCATAATCAAGTAAAAGTGTATTTATCTGCATATTTCATTCAAAGACATCACTGTGTTACCATTTTAGCAACACTATCATAATCATGAACTAATCTATTTGTAGTGCCATCCATGATTCTGAGGGTTTGAGAATATCCCTTTTTAAAAAAATCAATAATTAAACTGAATTGTCAA